TTATTTTAATTTTTATTTTTTAATTTTTTTTCTAATACTACTAGTAAGGATTTATAGTGGCTTAACGCATTTGGGCACGACACCGTGTGTGATTCATTAGTCTGAGGATCTGCATAACCGCACTCTAACTGGCAGTTTGCTGGGAGGAACAGACTTTCACTGTTTTGTGGCTTTGGGACAGTTGCAGAGTTCTGTCTAAGCCTGAAATGGGGGATGAGTGCAGGACTTCATGTGCAGCTTGCAGAATGATAGGCAAATTCTTAGCCTTTCACAGTAGTTACTGGAGAAAATTTGCAGATAGGGAATAATGAGTAGGTCTTCTTTTGGCTACCTGTGCGCTGTGTAGAGGGGTGACTGAGACTAGGTGACTTCTGGGCATGTAAGACTGTCAGATTGTTATTTGGCACTTTGGGTGAGGAGGATAAAATGACCACAGCACACATACACTGGAAAAAATATTTAAAGACCCGCCCTGTTAAAGTCAGCAGTAGAATGTCTGGCTTCTTAATTTGTCCTCATTTTGATTTAATTTATTCAGATGCCATTTTGTTATGTGTGTAAAAAAGGCCATATATTTTTTTTTATATTAAATAGTGCAACATACAGAGATTTTACATCAGCCTTGATAGGAGAGTTTTAATTATGCAAAGTTTCTGCTGATGTTCCATCACTGTTGAAGTGTATAGGTGCAGATATAGAACATTCTTCATACTTTAACTTGTCTTCTGTAACATTTTGTGCCAGTGTTCTCCAAAGCAGTGTGTTTGGGTGCTTTTTATGCATAATTGTGTCACACAAATTTCTTCAATTTTTTTGGGTAACTTCTGTCATAACCTGAAGTTCAAAATACACTTCTCTAAGAATTATTTGCTAATTTTATGCTGTGATGTGTTCCATATGCTTAAAGGACTGCATTTAGCTGAATTCTAAGTATGAAGTGTAACCTTCAGTTATTAGGGAAACCCTGGATTCTAAAAGAATTATTATTAAACACCTATTAGGAGATGACTAGGATGGGTTTTTGTAGGATGGATTTGTGCTGCTAGATAACTACTCACCTACAGAAAGGAATTGATAATTGAATTAATATGCATTCTGGCTTTTAGAGAGCGTATTGTGGCCAGTGCAGTGAAAGGATATGGGGTCTCGGAAGGCAAGGCTACAAGTGTATCAACTGCAAATTGTTGGTCCATAAACGTTGTCATATACTTGTTCCACTGACCTGCAAAAGGCATATGGTAAGTTTGCATTCTGTATAATGCTAAGATGTTTCATTTTGTCCTGTGTTGCTGTTTCTAGATGTGCATCCAAAATAATTAAATGCTCTCCGTGGTTCTAGATTTATACTACTTGGTGGTATTTGGTTTTCAGTTTCTGAAATATCTGTGGAGGACAGGACTTTGGATCGTGAGCACTAGAGACAAAGTGAGAAAAAACTTGTGATATGACTTAAGTGTGAGCAAGCTTGAGTTTGACTTCTCCAGTAGACCTATTGCATTTTAGATAGATAAAGGGTTGTCATTGACAATCTTAGCATTTGTTCCTTTTAGCCTCTGGGAACGTTTTAAGAACTAAGGCATTAGCGTAGTTTTTGCACTACTGCTTGCAAAAAGGATTGTTGCTTTCATGTTCTTGCCATCTCAGTCTCTCCAGTACTGTTCTCATCTTCTCCGTTCCCCACATATATTCCAGTGGCAGCTCTAGTGTCTTTCCTAAATTTTAAACGTTAATTTGTACCCCTGAATTTTAGTCCTTCCCTGTACTCATCACAGACTGAGACAATATCTCACTGGCTGTTGCATCATGTTGTCTCTAACTCAAAAACTTAAACTGCTATGTTTCTTTATTGGTGTTGCATATGACTTGCCTTGATATTACTTTGCCAGTTTATTTATGTGTGTTGCTCTACCTACTGGAATAGTCCTACATCTCTCATTATGAGTTGTGGATGAGACCAGCACCCAAATGTACTATAAAACTATTTGGTATTGTGATCGTTATCAATTTATGCAATACCTTTGGATAATAAGTAACAATTAATGTTTTTTAAACAGGAAAAGAATATGCCAGTGCTCTAAATTGAGTGTGTAACATCATGCTGAAGTGTTTACTTTGTGGCAGTTCCATGTGAAACAGATTCAAAAGTCTTAAATAGAGTTAAAGTTTGAACTTCGCAATAAAATACACTAATCTTACTTTTAGAAGACAGCTAAACACCTGTTGTAGAGAATGGTTGATGTAACATTTAGGCTTTTGATAGGCTGGTTTAATAATGCGTTACAGAATGTTAATATTTGGAAATACTTTCTACAAAATCCAGTTTTCATTCTGGAAGATAGAAATATAAGATTCTCATTGTGTTGTAGTTATATGGCAAGACATACTCACTTAAAAGGGGCTGCGTAAACAGATGTTATTTTCCTGTATAACTTATGTGTTTTGCAAGGATTCGGTCATGCCTTCCCAGGAACCTCAGTTAGATGATAAAAATGATGAAGTTGACCTCCCTTCAGAAGAAACTGATGGAAGTGAGTACTTTCTTGTTAGTTGCAATTCATGCATTTCCCCATTCGGAGGCCCGATTTTCCTCTACCTGTTTGGGGTTTTTTAAATTTTTACTTGGGAATAGCTGTAGTTTAGACCCGTGGACTAAATGCTCATTAGGGACTCAATTACAATAAATGTACTTCCAAAGCATGGCATCTGGTTTGGTTTCATCCTAAATGCATATGCTCTGAAACCATTCCAGAGTATGAAGTTAAGCACAGAGCAATTAGTAACAATAGATTTACTCTTTAAAACAAACAAAACCCCTTGCACTTTAGATCCTAACTATGATACTAATATAAGTGCACCCTCAGACTTCAACTGTTTCTTAATTTTGTGCGATTTTTAGTCCTCTTCCTAGGTTAATGTTTTTGATAGTTTAACCTGTTTTAAGGGCCTATTTATCATACCTGTTCTTCAAAATTATTCTGGCCTTTCAGATACTATCATGAGCTCAAAGGTTCATTGAGGAATTTCTTGCTGTCTCAGAGTTGGTTGTTTCTGCAGTGCCCTTAGGATCTGCTGTCAGGATTACAAGAATAAAGTGGAAAAATGTGATCAACTGTTCCATAGTATTTAAAGCAAACTGCTGACCCTAAGCTACTAAATCATTTTTCCATTTAACAGTTTTTAGAATTATTTCTAATGAAGGTCTTAACTGCACTATTTGTTTGATTGTTTTTCCAGTTCCCTACATTCCTTCAAACCGGAAACATGACAACATTAAAGATGATTCTGAGGTAAGTTTTAAAAATATTTTTGTAATTCACATTTACACACTCTAAATCATACAATGTTTTATAAAATAGCTAATTATTTGCCCTATTTTTTTCTGCTACCTTTTAAAAAATAAGCTGGGTTTTCTTTCTGAAAATTGATCATTTTTTTAAGTATGTTTGTTAGATTTCTCTGATTTCTTCTGTATACGGCTCTTGTTATCCCAATCATGATGTGAGAGACTTTTTTTTTCTTTGCTTTTTTTTTTCCTCCTCTCCATTTGTGTTGGACCTACAGTCCGGGGTTTGACTTTGTTGGTCCTTGCAACAAATGGTGGCGTTGACATTTTGTCTTGTCTGCTGTCTCTAATGGATGTACACCCTTCATCACCCTCAGGCTACCTCTACAGGCTATCATTATGCAAGTTGGTTCAGTCTGATAATACATTGACTATTCAGCTCTCTGAGATGTTTCATATAAATACTGCCTAATAATTTATAGACAGCTCCTGTAGAAATAAAAGTAGAATAGCATACACTTATACTCTGTTTTTCAGCTCTTTTGTAGACGGTCTGATACAATCTCTGCATACCAAGAATGTTGTTCCCTTAAAGCAGTTTGAAGAATCCTAATATGCCTTACTTCTAAAGGGCTTTTAGACATTTCTTTTAAAAATGCTTCTGGCGTATTTAAAATAAATAGGATGCATGCTGCAGAACACTAGCAGTTAGTTTGATATTGCACTTTTAACAAGCCTGCACCTTTTTCTCCCCGTCTACCTCCACTACAATACTTGTCACTACCATTATTTCACACTTGAGTAGTTCCTGCTCTTGAGTGCTTGCCTTATTTTCAATCATGTGTCATTAGATTTTTGTCTCAAATTCAGAGATGGAAGGCTATAAATTGTAAACATGTCAGAGAATTTTAATTGCTACCTAGAATTGCTAATTTCTGCTATCATTAGTGCTCAGGTGTAGATATGATATGTTTAAATTTTGATAGGAGCTCAACTCTCCTGAATTATGCTGCTCTGATTTTTCCACCTGGCTTTTGAGCTTTACTAACGTAGTTTAAGATATCCTACAGGGAGGAAGTGGCATTCTGGGAGCTTTGTTGACTAGAATCTTTAAGCTCAGAGCAATCTCTTCTAATAGCAGTCAATCCTAGATCAAGATTCTTTTTATATAAATACTTTCCATAGTTCAGCAGAATGCTGATCTGTCTACAAGTACAGTAGTATGAGGTCAGATAAAAATAGGCCATAGAAGTATGTCAAAGCACTGTATATATTGGTAAAACATGAAATGTCAAAGTACGTGCTGAATTTATCTAGTTTAACTGCTTGATCTTCAGTCTCACATGTTCACATCTAATTCCAGCAAACAGTCAAGATAAAATTTACCTTTTTAAATAATGAATTTTAAAAATAACATTCTTCATAGTGGAACATTTCCTGCAAATTCTCACATTTGAGAAATTGGCATCTGCTTCTGTATGTTCCCAGGCACCTATTAGAAATCTCAATTTTAAATCAAAATGTGGTGAACCTGATACAGACAGCTGTTGCCTAAACTGAAACCAAGACAGGTATATTCATTAGCAAATTATTGTTTCCTTATCTGTCGTCTTTTTAGGCAGCCTTTATTAATTTGTACTACAATGTCTGTCAGTGTGAAAGATGCACTTCTCTTAGTGCAAAGGATAACTCTACATGGCCTGTGGTTCAAGAATTTGAAAAAACCCTCATCTCTCAAGGCACTGCTTTCTGTTTTCCAGCAAGAAATATTTAAATGATTCATTGAACAAACTGCTGCCTTGAAAAGCACAGTAACTGTTAGTAAGAGCAAAACCAATACCAACCAAACGTTTCTAAGCAAATGTGTTATAATCAACCATTCAGATCTGTGTGCCAGTGACAATGGCAAGCAAACTCAGCAAATTCTGGCCAGTGGTTAAAGACCTCTTTGCTTTAATAGGTGCTTGTCATGAAAATGTCTTCTGTTTCTAGCATCTGTTTCTTTTTATACAGGATATCAAACCAGTCATTGATGGAATGGATGGAATTAAGATTTCTCAGGGGCTTGGACTACAGGACTTTGATTTAATCAGAGTTATCGGACGTGGAAGTTATGCCAAAGTTCTTTTAGTTCGGTTAAAAAAGAATGATCAGATTTATGCTATGAAAGTAGTGAAAAAAGAATTGGTCCATGATGATGAGGTAAAAGTCTGTGTTAATTGCATTCCTTTATATATGGTAAAAACTTACTATGCTTTAACAAAAAACATTCAACTAAGCAGCTAAGGTTTTAGACAACATCTCTGTAATAGAAGTTTTACTGACTTTTGAACTCATTTGTCATTAGCTGTCTGCATGAAGCACCAAGATTAAATCTGGGAGAAGTGTCCCTTATTTTGATAACAATTAGTTATTAATAGCCTTAGTGGAATGCACGTAAAAAATATTCCAACCTGGATGTGCTAGTCTGTAAGTGATGAGATAAATAGGGTGGAATTTGGGCACTTAATTTTGAGAGAACAAAGATTTTTTCAAGGCAAATGAATGTATCTGCAAATTATCGTGTCTGTATTTCAGAATAGGAGATGAAACTCTGTTCTTACAGTCGCAATGACAGAGCTTATGTGTAAGTGACACAATACTCTGGAATATTTTTTCTATGGCTTCAAAAAACTTATGCTACTACCATTTGAGGTCACTGTGGTTTAACTGGCTTGTAAAAAAAAAAAAAAAGAAACTTCCACAGAAATCAGTGCTGCATTTCTTGATTATTTTCAAAATCCTGTTGAAATCTTTTTGATACAGGATCTCAAACGCACAAGTTTGGAGAAAAAAACAAAACCCAAATAACTCTTCACATTTTCCTATGTTATTCACACTTCTCAAAAGGTATTGTTTATATCCATTCTAATTTTGTTCGTAAATGTGATGAATCAGTCACAGCAAGCAAGGCAGATTTGAACCGTCTACAATGCCATTTGACTGGAAGCTGCCGTGTTAAGTAATGGAGCAGGGGATGGGGTAACCGGAATGGGGTGCTCAGACCACAGCCCTGATAACACAGGCTGAGACCTGACAGATGGATAGCAAGTGTTGTCAGGCTACCAGCTTTAGTGGAACGCTGCAGTGTGACGTGCTCCTGCAGGACTGCCAGTGTGTATGACAGGCTACATAAAGTATGACGCCATTAAATATCTGAAGAGTAAAGTAGTACTGTATCATCCTTGTGGGTCGAATCCCAAACTCTGATAAAATAAAAAAGAGGTGGACAATCAGTCTCACCTTGTAGGGAATTTATTGTATATAGCTGTTCTTACAACAGAAAGTGATTTTTTTCAAATAGAATGCAGTTTTTAAGCTGATGACGTTATATGCATTTTATGCTGTTAGGAAGACTGGATTTCTTGAAAGTAGGTTGTTGGAAAAAAACCCAAAACACATTGGTTTAAGTACTACTTGTGTTGGTAGTTTCAGTTGGTTTCTCTGGCTGCCATCTTTGTCATTATTCCAGAGGCTAGGGTTAGGAGAGTACAGTTGTAAAGTTCTTCTAAAACACTTTGGCTTGCTTATTTATTTGATGTTTATTTTTATGACCAAAGATTAGATTGTTGTGTAGTTTGTTTACTGTTGCCTTTTTAATATGTCTTTTTCCAAGAAGGTAGTAACTAAAGGGAAGTATTATTTAATGAGTTACGTAGTTTCTGAGAATGAGGTGGATGAGAAACGTCTTTCTTGAATAGTGGCTCTTATACATAGTTACATAGAAGATGAGCTAATTGTTTTTTCTTTTCTATAAGATAGGCTGTATAATGAAATTCTGGGAATTGATAGGAAATTCAGTGAATTCTGTGAATGCATGAGATATTGCAAGTAATGGAAATTTCACTTAGTAAGTGTTTCATGGAGAAAGTAAATTAATTACGTAGCAAAAATCAGTATGTTTAAATCAGCTAGTGCTCTCCAGGTAATGGTTGATATTGGAGAGAAGGAAAATTTATTTTCTAAATGAGATGAAGCAAACAAAATACCTGGTCTTCTGCTATTACATTTTTCTAAGCTTAATCTTGTTAACTAGTAGTGCCCTAGTATAACACTAATGTACAATACTGAAAGGGTTAGTTTAAAGACTCTGATAAGCTTGTTCAGTAAAAGCAAAAAAGAAGTGTTTATTGTTTTATTTGAAATTGGATTTTTGGCTCATGTTTGGACCCAGATTTACCCTTCCAAGGTGTTTTATCTTCAGAGTGTCTGAACACAAAACCTAATAGATTTTTTTAATTTGATGGTGACATTTCTTTATTTCCTTTGAGACTTAGCTTCACTATCCTTGACAAGGAGGCCTGGTTTCTTAATATCTGTCTTGATTGTCTGCAGAGTGGTTGGAAAGCTGGAAGTATTTGTTGGAAATGGAGAATTTTTAGAACAATTATATTTCTAGTTTGTTGGCAGGGTACTGAGTGTCTGCAGGGTGGAACATGATCTGTGTATTGCTTGGAAGAGTGAATATCTACTGCTAAATCCAGCTGTCCATAAGGTTTAAATTTTATATGGTTATATGAAAAATGATAGAATGCTTTGTTACTACAGATCTGAATTCTGCAGCACTATGCTAGTATCATGGAAATTTTGGTAGGTTTTTATTATATGGTACAGCACTGGCTATTCAGGACTTCTCCCTGTTGAGTATTAAAGGTAGTCTGTGATAAGAAGGCTTTTGGTTGGACAAACTAATAGGGTTTGGGTAGTTTTGTTGAATTAATTTTGAGTTTCAGATGAACAAATGAAGTTCAGTTTATTTGAACCTTTTAAAAACTGGAGATTCACATTGCTTGTGTTACTGGCATGAGTTACTTCAGCAGCCTTAGAATCATTTATCTAAGATAACTGAATTTATTTCTATGAACCAGTATGAGCAATGTTCAAATATTGTAGATGTATGATGTTTTTAAATGGCTTAAATTTTGTGCAGACCTTTCTAAATGGTTAAACTTCTGAATATATAATTGATTTAAAATGTTTTATAACTTCCTCCAGATTTTAGGGGGTTTTGTCTTTCTGAAGAACATACATAACAATGACAGTATATGTAAGGGAGCATAGATGTTCATAATTTTTTTTCTGGGAATACCCACAGTGGTTATCCAGCAGGAGTTCTGATTGTTCAATTACTCTATTTCAGGATATTGATTGGGTACAGACAGAGAAACATGTGTTTGAACAGGCATCCAGTAACCCATTCCTAGTTGGTTTACATTCATGCTTTCAAACAACAAGTCGGTAAGAAAGATCTGAAATTACTTTGTTTTGAAAATCTTGATCATTGTACTAACTGCTTCTCATAAAGCGAACATAACCACTGCCATCACACAGTAATTTTGAGAAGGAAGCATTAGTATTGTCAGGGATTCATTACTGCAGCAAAGCCAGTTCTAGCAGGGTAGCTTAGCTAGTGTGGTGTGGAGATTTCAGGTTCAGATCTGAAGGGAGAAGATGAATGAGAAAGAGGAGGAACTGTGCACTGACTTCCTGAGCACAGGCCGTGTGGCTTCAGGAGTAGGAGGATGGTAGCAGAGTGAAACAGAGCTTTGTAAGACAGAGTTTATAAAACCTGAATCTGCTGAATAGGGCCAAATCGGTTTTCACAGGGCCAAACTGTAGTTCTCTGTTCTTCAAAATAGCGTAAGAGTTGGGCTGCTCAGTAATAATAGTTTTTAATAATAACTTATAAAAACTACATGTGTCTGAAGTTTGTTTTTTTCTTTATCTGAGGCTTATGAGCCCTTAGCACATATTGATGAAGTATGTGATTTTTAGTTGAAAAAAGTGCTTAATAAACTCTTAGCTACTTTGAAATACTATTTTTTTGTCCTTGTGTACACAATCCCAAGTGGATTTTTTACTTATTTTGCAATTGGAATATGAAAGAGATCAAGAACTTTCATGCCCATGCTTACGTATGTCACTGGGGAATTTGTATGAGGGATGGGAGGGTGGTTCGTTGGGGTTTTTTGTTTTGTTTTCACAGGCATCTCTTTACTGTTAAACTTTTATAATGCCTGCTGCCTTATGTATGATAATCAGAAGATAAAAGTAATTCTATCTGGCTTACTTGAATGGCATGCAGTGTAGAGCACAAACAGTTTTAAGACATTTTCATGGATTATCTAGTCATCCTTAAGAATAATCACCTGTTCATTACAATGTGCCTTATCAATTTTTAAAATATGAAGCCATGCACTGTACTATTTCTGCAGTCTCCCAACTTTCAACCCCTTAATGGCTATAGTCATAGGAAATAGCAGTTTCTTAGCAGGGAAAACATAGCGGAGATAAAGGAAGCAAAGAAATTGTATGAAGAGTGTTCTGAAGGTACATAGACTAGGGAGTATTTTGGAGCAGGGAGAAAGAATGATCTCCAAAAGTGACTAAGGATTTGACCAGAACAAATGTCTCTTGTAGACAGAAAAAAAAATTATCTAGACAACTAACAAACTGTAAAAGGCCTTTTAAGTTAAACCAACATTCACAAACACCTTCTCACCAAATACTAAGTAGTATTGAACATCTAATATAAAAATTCAAGTGGTTGGGCAGGCGAAGTATTGAGAATGAGGTTTCTTATAAACACTGGAAAGAAGAAAAAGGCTGAAGTCAGCAATAGAAAGATCCTTTGCTTGCTACTTTGGTAATTACACTGACATAGTTGAGGAGCAGAAATAGAAAAAAATATATGCTGAACATACTCAAAGCTTGCTGTTTTCCTGTTGTATCTTTAGGAGTCCTGTTCTTCCAGCCTAGCTTCTCCTTCAGTGAAACTATAGCTTTTTGTTTATAACTTCAGACATTTGCCATGGATATAACCATAATATCATGAATTCTCAGTTTAGTTATAGCTGTAATATTATAAAATCACAATTATGACCTCATTACAGGAACAAAGAGAAGCATGAAACTGATTTCAAGTTAAATAAATTCATCAACATTGCATTGTGTTAACCGGCCCAAAGAAAACAACTTGTAATTTGAGAACAGTTTGTGTATAAGTGTACTAATAGGGGGAGGAAAAGAGTTGCGAAAGAACATGTTCTTTCTCTTAAATATAATTTAAAATATTTTTTAAGATAAATGAGTATGTAAAGATGTTAATTGATACTAAATGTAGCTGTTTACGTTGTTTCAGATACTAGTGATGCTTGTTTTATTATTGTAATAAAATATGTGATTTGGGCTTGTCCAGAATTGCCAGATAAGTGTATTACAAGGATGGCAACAATCTGAAACTTCCATCCTGCAAAACCATTGGTGTTTGAGTACATCCTTCTGAAAGCAGCAAGGACTACCAGTATTCACACGCTTAGGTGCTTGAACATGATGCAACGAACTTTAAATTGCAGGTTCTGAATGGTGTTAAAACATTGGAAGCTTTTAAATAGGATAGGAAAGTTGGAAGCAAAAAATACCAGGAAGCCTGTAATAAAATATTCATGGCATTGTTACCTATTTTATTTATTGTTTCTTTAATTTTACTTTAGTGTTTATATACTTGTGGGGAGGCCACTGAAAGACTTGCCAACTGGGTTGTGTCCAATGATTTTTCCTGGTTTACCTTTTAATTTTTTAACACGTTGCGTGTTTCAAATGAAGAATCCTTTTCAAAGGAAAAAAGACATCTTTAATTGTTACCAATTAGAGTGGTCTGAGAGACTAGAGCATGTGTTTTCCAAATGGAATGTTTTCCAGTGTGTGGATATATGGAAAGGAGTTTTCAGCTCATGGAAAATTAGGCGTATAAAGAAATACTGCCTCCTGGGACAGCTGCAACCTTCATAAGAAACCCTCACTCAGCGTGTTTCTGTCCTGTAGGTCTCTCTGACCTTGGCAGCATTGCCTGGATCATATTTTCCCAAGGATGAAACCTTTCCTGCGAACTGTAATAGAAGTCTCTTTATATGGCTGATTCCACTTATGTTTCTTTCCCCTATTGACTTTGCTCATTTCTTTTGAGAAGACTGTTTCAAAAACTTGTTCTACAGAGGAACTAATAAACCTTGACGCTGCAGCCTTTCTGTGCTCAGATCTTCCACTTAGTGAATATGCTATGTAGAGAGGAACAGAAGTGGGTCCATTACACTCTCTTTTAATTCACGTTTCTCTACAGATGAAGGTCTTGGTAAAGTCAAGGGAGGGTGGGATTTCGTTATCTGTCCTGCCGGCTCACCAAATTTAGTTTTCATCTCTGATAAATAATGGATATACATGAATTGAGTCAGTCAGTCCTCAAATTCTTTAGTCTTAGTCTATCCATACAAATAGAACAGAACTTTTTTTTTCTTCTAGGAATGACAGTATGTTTCTTAATGGTGTATCAAGAAGAGTTCACTGATAATCATAGGGTTTAATAGAAATAATTTTGCTTGTGTATATTAATAATATGCTAGATTATGTAACTTTAATTGGAAGAAGTATTATTGTGTCGTATGCTGTTCGGATAAGACGTAACATTGTTTTGAAAGTAAATGTGGGTTGCGTTCCTCTAAATGAGTCTTACGGCATCTTGCTTTCAGTAGATCTGTTTGAGCTTTTTGGGAACAGAAGCAGCACAAACAGCAACCTTCATAGCTATATATTTAATTAATATCACAAAACATACTGATCTCTGTAATATTGCCGGAAAAACATTAATTATTGTTAATGATGAAGTAATTTTTAAAAGATGGTGACCTTTGAGTGGCAAAACTACCTCAAAAATACAAATGAGAAATTTCAGATTTTGCCTGTGCAGAAACCTTGTTGAGTTAGGTGTGTATAAACTATGATTCATCTACAAAGCTCTTCTTATTTGATGCTGCAGCTTGGCTATTAAAAAAGAACAATGTTTAGTCAAGCAGAGTAACAATTCAATAATTATTACATCTGTAAATCTATGCCAGATTTAATAAGAAAGGTTTGAATTTAAATTGATGCATCTTTTAAAGTATTTTTTAATCCTTAAACCTTTATTTTAAATAATCAACTCATTTCAGACAGGCTAATATTTTTTCAGTCAATTGGATGTTGTTATTCAAAGCGGTGTACTCACTGAGCAAATTTTATACTGTGGAATTTTGTTCCATAAAAGTCAAAGGAATCAACATCTATGAATAAGAGGTATTCATGTAACTACATCGTCATTATTATGTCTTTTTCAAATGAATAATTTACCTTTTTTGGATAAACTTTCGCTTTTGCCATGTGTCATCTTCTAGCACACTTCCATGATTTTGCTATTATTTCTAAGTAATTTTTAAAGATGTCTGTATATCATTGTATGCTTAGGAGGTTTTTTTACATCTGTCGCCGAGTACGTCATTACATTAGGCCAATGCTATTGTCTTTTGTACTCTTTAAATAGTTCTGCAGATTTGACACCAAATAGTAGCCTGTTGTTTGCAGCTGCCTCTCCTTTACATTTAGTCTGACATTTAAATAAAGCATGTGATCCTGCATTATATGGATCAAATAAGTACTCTCTTTTTTCTTTTAAATAGTTTCTGTAACTATAAGCATTCTAGAAGTCTAATTCAAGAATGGAAATGAAAATGGCTCAAACTGGAAGGATAAGAATAATTTTTCTTTCTGAGTGTTTCCTCGGAATCCATTAATTGTATTATATACTTTCAGATTGTTTCTTGTCATAGAGTATGTAAATGGGGGAGATCTTATGTTTCATATGCAACGGCAAAGGAAACTTCCTGAAGAACATGCAAGGTATTTTACTAACACAGTTATAGTGGTTTTCTTGTAGTTGTTTAATGTTGTATGAAATGCTTTCCAAACTTTATTCCATAAAAAAATACAAACAGTGAAGAAAGAATGAAAGATTGATTCTTAAGTTTAGAATGCCCTGGAAAGAAATGTTAATTTTATTTTTTTGAAGACTATGTTTGGGCTTTTTTTAAAGCAAGCAAGCATTTGATAACTGGTAACAGTTATTCCTATTTACTTTTGTTTATTGCTTCATATTTAGGTAATGCTGCTTTATTCTGTTGATAGAAGATATAACTATTCTACTTATTTTGGTCTTAACGTTGGATTAATATAATGTTGGTAGGCGAAGATGAAATACCTGTTTTGCATGGCTTTGCACTACACAAAGTCTCACTGTAACTCTTAATAAGCTGAAAGTACAGAACTTCTATGTCATACTTGGAATTCTCACAAAAAAGTGTAGGATAAAGAATAAATATTTTCTTAATTGGTAGAATAAAAAAATAATTTCCCATATTTAATTTAAGGAATGGTTTTACAATGTATGAGCTCAGTGTCCTTAGGAATAAACATAGCTTGATTTTGGTATACTGTTGATAGATGAAAGCTGACTGTAAAGTGATGCTTTAAGAACAGATTTTTTTTAATTGCACCAGCTTTTGTACAACCTTAATGCCAACATGAATTTTCTCCTTTTTGATTTCAGGTTTTATGCTGCTGAAATTTGTATTGCGCTAAACTTCCTACATGAAAGAGGCATAATCTACAGAGATTTAAAACTAGACAATGTTCTTTTAGATGCAGAGGGTCACATCAAATTGACGGATTATGGCATGTGCAAGGTAGGATTTTTCTTACCTTTCTTGTGTCACCTTGTCATTCAGTAGTATATGTCTCTGGTTATGCTTTTAAGTCAAATACTGCATCCAGTGATATTAAAAGAAAACTTAGAAAATTTATCCTTATCTTAACGCTAGTGTTACTGAGCCCAGAATTTGGTTGTGGCATAGGAACTTCATTCTGAAAAATGACTGTTGAAGAACAGAACTACACTTGTAATTTTTTTCCTTTGTTTATTTCACAAAGTTATGTGGGTCATTTTGGGGGACAAAAAGTTTGACCTGTTGGCCAAATTAATTTCTTGTATCTGTTTACATTCCTTCATGACCCCAGTTAGAAAAGTTATCTTTAACACAAGTATGTTTTTAAAAGGGTCTTTTCCATCTTTTGGTAACTGTACTGCTGTGAATATGAATTGCATTCATCATTCTCTGTGGCTGGACAGATTTTTAACCAACAGGGGCTCTCTAGTATCTCAGTTCTTATGCTGCAATCTTTGGCACTGAGAGGCAATTTAGAGAGCATTGCTTTCAAAGCACCTGGTAAAGCATAGCATGGACTTAACGTGATGCAGAGGAAAGCAAGAAAACATCAGTAGAAAATACCAGTGTAGAAGATACTAAATTTAAAACTTATGTCTATAAAGTTGGAATAACAGACATGACTGAAGCGGTTGTAATCTGACAAAAAATGTGCTATCCCCCTAGAGCTGTTGATTTGACCTCAAGTCTCCTTGTTATTGCCACACTGTTTCTGGATAGCCTGTGAAATGAGATTAGAGTCCCATCTATTTCTTGGTGACAATAAGTTTCTGAAGCCAAAATTGCAACTGGCATTGTATTGTTTTTTAAAAGTCCAAGAATAGCGTGTATTATACTAATTTTGATTGGACATATTTCAGAACATGATTAAGGCATGTTGTGGTGATGCAATGAGGAAAGCTTGTCTCATTCCCTCCATAGACTAGGTATTGCACCAATTTCTAAGAATGCTGGACTAGAATGTTTCTCTGCTGTCAAAGTGCACAGGTTGTGAGGCTTCACTTGGAATGCAGCAGTTACGTAAAAAGTTTGATTTGTTCATTCTAAAAATAGAAGTGTTTTTCCCCCAATCTATTTGAAAAGGACTTCTGAATTGGTTCTGATCTCTTTTAAATTTTTTTTAATTTTTTTAAGTATATCTGTAAATAGTAATTAAAATGTTGTTACAAATGTGTTGTGACTCAGTTTTAATAAATTAATTTGCTGAAGATAAGCTGTAAAGTCAGAAGCCAGCTTTGAGCACTATGGGTATTTATTTTGCTCTAGTGTTGCCTTTTTTTGATAGGAAGGTCTTTAGACTCCCTAAGTAACTTGGCTTTATCAGTCTAATTAAGGGAAATTCCTAGAAAAGGTGATCAGCTTTTAATTTGTGAAATGATTTGTGCATGTAGGAAGGTTTGGGCCCTGGTGACACTACAAGCACTTTCTGTGGGACACCAAATTATATTGCACCAGAGATCCTCAGAGGAGAAGAATATGGTAAGCTGTGACTAAACAATTTGTAGTTATAATAAATCACAAAGCAAAATTCTAGTTGTAGGTTGGTTCAAATACAATTTTTTTAAATTTCCACATTGTTGTGCCATTGTATGTTGAGAAAATTTCATGTATGTTGTACAGTTTATTTTTCTGAAATAAGGTTATTTTTGTTTTTCTCTTGCAATCACTCATTTCAGTTTCTTTGAAATCATACTTTCCCTGAAAAATAACTTATAATGATACTTTAGCAAAACTGCTCCCTGAGCTCTCTCAAGTCTCATTCAGTGATAGTATAAGTCATGATGTCTGTGGCTTCAGTGAAAGTAGAGAATTTCAGTACTTTGTAGAACCAGGCTGTTAATTTTCATTTATATGAGAGAGAACACCTGAATTCAAGGAGTCCTAGCTGAAAATCTGCTCTTACAGGGTTCAGCGTGGACTGGTGGGCGCTTGGCGTGTTGATGTTTGAAATGATGGCGGGAAGGTCTCCGTTTGATATTATTACTGACAATCCAGACATGAACACTGAAGATTACCTCTTCCAAGGTATAGTAATTTTGATTTTTTCTTTTTCTTTCTGAGGGGGGAGAAATAATGAAAAATAGCAGTTCCAGTAGGACAGTTAGGTTTTCCTTTTCCATTATCCCATAGCTGCCTGTAGATCTACTGTAGATAGTCCCAGTATTTCCAGTTCTTCATCCCAGGAATTTATTTTGTTGAACTCAGATAAAATGGTCTGGAACTAGGAAATCTTTTTCAGACTATAAAATATTTTTTTAAAATATCCACAGTTCAGAAATAACAGAAATTGTATGGAATGGTACTGTTGTTAAAAGGCAGTCCACAGGCCAGGAATTAATTTTAAAATTCAGTGCTACGTGAGAGGATAGGAGGATTTTTCTTGACAGAAACATCAACCGGTAGTTTTGCTCCAGATAACTTAATTTTTTTTTTTTTTTTTTTATTTTTTTACTTCTGATGAAATTAATGTAACTATTTTTTTAACAGTTTTAACTTTCAGGAATAGTGATGTATGAATTTTTCTAAACAAAAGTAGTGATACTTGCCATATTTATTACAATAGAAACTCTGTAATGCTTTGGGGAATTGCGAAGTTGCCAACTCCCTAATATGCAGAACGATTTTTTTTAAACTAGTTACTGCAATTATGTAACAGAATCTGCCACGGTCTTCTTGACAAGCCTAACGTTAAATCAATTACTGTTTAAAATCACACTTTTCCATATACTGAGGACACTGAAAAAGTTTTATTCCCTGTTTTATACTACAAACAATAGAAAAAGATAATGAAACTAACATTTCCTTTAGGAAATCTTGAAATGTCAGTATAAAAGTGCCTTGATTTACTGTAACTCCTTTTGTTTGCATTACTTTAAATAATTACTGTATGTTCCCATCTTCCAAAATGGTAACATATTTAAATAATATAGTGTTTGTATTGAAATCATGGTCAATGTCATAAAACAAAAAACAATATTGCTGTTTTTAAACCTGTAACAGTTATTCTTGAGAAGCCAATCCGGATTCCAAGGTTTCTTTCTGTCAAGGCTTCCCATGTGTTAAAAGGATTTTTAAACAAGGTAAATAACATTCTCTTATTTTTAGCATCTAAGATCTGGAAGTCAGAGCTTCCTGTTGAAAGCAATACAGTTAAGAAGTTAATCTGCTTACTGTTAAGAAAATCTATAAAACCTTGGTATCCTGTATGTTAAAAAACCCCACTTAGTTGCTAATTTACTGAGGGAATTCCACAGCATGGACTTGATTTAAAAGCCTGCCTCTAGTGGAAAAAAATAACTATAGGCTTGTTGTTTATAAACTATTTTCTGTAATACTTCCTAGTCATTTAATTAAGCTGATTGAAACCCCTAAAACCATTATCATTTTTTAGTGGAGAAAAGAAGGATATGAATTATATATTACTAAATAAATCTAGATTTTTTTTAAGAAGTTGTAAAATATAATGTAAAAATGAGATTTCAAACAAACTTCATCCAAAAAAAAAAAGAAAATCCCTTGATAGCCATAATATCTGTATCTTAGCAGCAGTTTGTGTAGTAATCGGGAATGCTGGAGTCATGTATGTGGGCTTTGGACAAACATGGGCTGTAACTGGCTTAGAGTATGTAATACGAGTTTCTGTGTTTTCTGCAGGATCCCAAAGAAAGGCTTGGTTGTCAGCCGCAGACAGGATTTTCTGATATCAAGTCTCATACGTTTTTCCGCAGCATAGACTGGGATCTGGTAAAAATAATTACTTCTGTTTATATGTGTTCGAAAGGAATAGATTCTTTTAGTTAATAGTGCTTATGTGTAACAACCACATTAAAACTAGTGACATTCAATTCCATAAATGTAAAAGCTATTGTGCTTTCTCCAGGTGACATAACATAATGGAAACAAGCTTTATTTCATGACCAAAAATCTGGCTTGCTTCCAAACGCTAAGAGTGGTTACAACTTGTGGGTATCATTTTTAAAGTATATGATGAAATTTAGAGAACACTTTAAAAAACATATTAAAGCATTAGTGGAACCATTTATTCCTTGGTTTCTATTTGTAGATTCTGCAAACTCATGCACTAGGTTCTGCTGCTATAAATTTACACAGCATACACACAAGGTACCTGCAATTGTGATGTGAAGAACTCCATAGATTTCCAGTATCAGAATTCATGCCTTACTATTCTAGGTGGTCACTTCATGTATTCCTATTAGTAAACAGTTCAAGCTCCGTTGAAAAAGGAAGTGTGGACTAGCAAAGACAGCCTGTTGGAATGCTATTGCTGTACTTCATTTCTCTTGTTGATTAGAAACCTTTCTGCCTTGACAGGAAGGTTGGTAGTTGATTAACACAGCTGACAGACCAAGTGTCCTGAAACCGGTTTAGACACAAGCATGGAAAGTGAGGTGCTTCAGATATATGAAGCATTTGTATTCTACTTGTAGTACATTTAAAGAAAAGGAGAAAAAAAAAAAGATTGAATTTACAAATTATATAATTTTTTGAATCACTAGGATTATTCAGGTACGTAACGGAGTTTAGTAACATGAGTAGGCGTGAGTAGGATCAGGTCCTTTTTTTTTAAGGATGCAGCTTGAAAGCAGTGTGGTTATTTAAAGTGATTCTCTGGTTATTACGTTCAGGTTTTCTTTATTACTGCTGGTGTGAGGGAAGTTTTTAGTTCATGGTGGAATAGATGACTTGCATTTCAGTGGTTTTGCAGGCATAAAATGTTATTGCAATTGTAGTTTTTTTTAAAAGCTTCTGTTAACTTGGTAATTGGGCTACTTCTGTCTTCATCGTAGAAAACCATCACAAAAATGATGTTATGTTTATTGACACTTGAGCAATAAAACAATTAAGTCAGGAACACTGCCTTATTGGGATTACATTTTTAATACCTAGTTGAACAGTGAAAAATATGGACATAATATTTTCATAGTGCCAGGAAGTCTACAGGAGGTGTAGAAACAGGCAGGCAGCAGTGGCTGTAACAATACGAGAGAGGTTCAGAGGAAAAGACGACTGCATGATTACGTTTTTACTTTGAAGCCTGCTGTTCAGACCTCCATTGTTAGCATTCTTCAGAGAAGACATTCCCTACATAAGAAGCCAGTGTTTTAAAATACCTGGTGTTTGCAAAATTATTCATATAGTGAAAGCTGTCTTTAATTTTGTCAGACATCCCTTGTTTTGTATTCTCCCTTAAGCCTAAGTGTTATTTTTCATTATGTTAGCTACCTAGTGCTGCTATAATGCAACTTGCTTCAGTTCATGGTAGATCATAAGCATTACGGACTGCAGGGTTTCTTTTCTGTTTTGCAGACTTTTTGAGGGAGAGAGAGATGACATGGATTTGTATTGTTTATCTGTATAAGAAACTCTTAATTGCAACTGGTGCTACTTGGTCAACATTTATGCTGATTTGAATTCTGATTTTTTTAACCTATTTTTTGGCTGAAAGCTTTAGTATTAAATATCTTTTTTTAAAAAGTAATGGAGAGATTTAGGTGGTTGTGCTGTTTTGTGATATGATTAGGACAGTGCTGTTCAGGAGGATCTAAAATTTCGGGTAAATTTTAAGCTAAATTTCTAAGAGTGTTGGGAAATATATTCAGGAGACAATGAAAAAATATTTGGAAAGCTTTTTTAATTATTAGAATTTTCTTTGAAATGCAGGCAATGAGGAGAAAAGATTTTGACTTAAAAGCTTTTCCAAATCTTTTCAAGTCGAAACACAAGGAAACAAGAGCCTAATGCTGACTAAAATTTTTTTAGTTGAAGCTTGAGTTAAATGGAAAAATAATGGTAATGTGAACACATATACCATAAACATTTTTCTCCTAGTGTTAGTCATCCGAGTTGCGTGTGGCACAGCTAAGAACACTTTAGATTACTCACTGCGTATAGGATGGCTTAACAGCATTCAGGGAAGTATCAAGACAACCTTTTTTTGATTGTTTCAGTATATGAAGTCTATTTGTATCCCAGTGCCTGTTTTTATGGTATTTAACCATTATGTGCTGAAAAAAGAACTACAAAACCATGGCTACTATTAGCTGTGTACAGGAAGCAGGAAGGCTTTTTCTAGAGCTGTACCAATATATTTTTTCACTTGTTTTCTCAAGTTAAAGACTGCAAGTTCACTATTTGGTTTATTTAAGAATGCTTTTATGCTTTACTGAGTATAACATAAGAGGCAGTCTGACGTTTAACATCTAGTTGAATGCCTTGCTGTTGAAATGTTAATGCATAGCTACGACTGACTCATAATGACAATCTTACCACCCTACTTCAATTTTTAAATGTTCATTTTGCTGTTTCTTTCATGCTGCCATTCTTGTTTGGGAGGAGTTAATTTTGTCTTCCTTACAACTTTCATTTCACATTGCTTTCTAAGACCTGATAACTGATGGGATGTTGATGTTATTGAGATTAACTGTCCAGTTATAGTTTCATGATTTCCTTATCTCCATCTGTATTTATCGTGCTCTTGTCTTAAACCTGGAATGTAAGATTTTTCTGTGATGGATCACCTTTTTGTTGTTTACATTGTCCCAAGGATAATGAGATGTCCTGGCTTAAAACCAGGTTTCCTACCCATGTTGGTAATATAAGTAAGCATTTTGGTCATTGGTAACTACTTTTCACTTACATTATGCTTACCTGTGTGTTTTTTAAGTTAGATTATGGAGACTGTAGCTTTGGCTTTTTTTTTTAACTGAATATAAATTTTAGAATTGGAATGTTGCTATCTGTGCTACTACAAATTTGCCTGTGTGACACTGTCTCCACTGCTGTGGTGGTAGGACTTTCAGGTTAAAGGCTAATTAAAGTTATTTACCCTCTGTAAATGTGTTGCAGTTAATCTGGCATAAGTTTCCCTTCCTGCTAAATATAATCAGTGGCTTTCCCATCCTTGTATGCTTATATTCCTAAATTGCAAGTTTTACTTATTCGTTTTATGTCTTCTGCAACTCTGTAGAATATTATACTAGAAATCTGAGTCTTAAGACCTAAATTACAACTGCAATTTTTATTTGTGACCTATCTTATATAAGAAATAAGTGCCCTCTAATTGCACACAAATGCTCTTCCTCAGGAAGAAAAGTAAATATATTGTGCTAGCTCTTGTATTGCACCAGTAAGCATCTGTGTGGGAATTTTTCAGTCCTGAGTGTAATCTACCAAGTAAGAGAGAACTTAAATGGCTGAATTGTTTATGGACTTCTAATTTTAAATGCAGAGCACTAATTATATTGGTGTCTGTTGCCTGGCTTGTAAAGTATATTACTCGGGTATTTTGACATTTCTCTCCAATAGCATTTAACGTAGTTGAATTTGTAGAGTTCTTAGAGTTTGGTAATTATTACAGAAAATGTTACTATAGTAACTTCTTTCTGTTTTGAGTACACAATTTTGTTATTTGTGTAAATTTGGCTTTTGTTGTTAGTATTGTTTTGAAACACACAGAAGCTTTCCCTTTTTTCCTATGAAACTGACCTGTAAAATGTATGAAATTAGGAATTTGGGAGCCAACGGAAGTATAAGAGTCTGTTGTAAATGGGGAAAATCTACTGTTTACATTTTGAATAATTTTTGCTTGAAAATGACAATAATTTATATGTAGTCCATAAGAATGACCAGGAAGATGAAGAAAAATCTCACATCAAATGGTGGCGGGAGGATTTTCTGGGAGATGTACAATTTTTCTGTTTTACTTGGCACGTTCTGGGAAGAACACATGTGAATAACACACGGACTTTATAGCTCAAGGATGTTACTGCTACTGGTATGCAGCAACACAGAGGCCTCCACAAAATGCAACACAGCGTCATAACACACAGGCATGATAGGTGTAATGCAGTCCTCGTTGAAGCTGGAGAACCTTCTTCAGAAAGTGTTCAAATGGTTATTAATGAAATTGAATACTATTCAGTGGTAGTCAGATATATCTAAAGAGTATGAAGGATCTGCAAGACCTTTAAGAGAATTTGCAGATCTTGGTGTAGAAGATCCCTCTTTTCAGTGTGTTCCATCCAGACCTGCAAAGAAGCTGGAGCCAGGGAGAAAGTTGACTGAGATGAGGACACCATGAGAATTCACAGGAACAACGCTCTCTGGTCAAGAATAAATCTACAAAAGGGGGTGAGGCTTTTTGCATCAGAGCTGCTCTTGGATAATAATTTACCTTAAGACTGCTGCCTCTAGATTCAGAAGGCTGGGCCAAAAAAATTTTTACTTCTGGGAGAGGGGTGGGGGTAGGATTTGGATCAGTTTATCATATTCAAAGATCATAGCGATCTTTCCAGATGAATCTTAAAAATGCAATTCCAATTATGATCAAAATGGATTTCTTCTTTCATAATGATATTTAGCCTTTTTTACTCTTAATACTGAAAGCCTTCAAAAACATACCACCACCACACTAACTAGGGAACCAGAGGAGTCAGAGTTGACTCTTGAATCTTGGGCAGTGATCCGTGATGGACTCTAGTAAGGGATCAGAAAGAAAAGGGGTCATTCTTTTCTTTCTACAGGACTTCTGACAAAACATATGTGACTTTTTATTACAACAAAAATGTTTAAATCTACTCATCGTACACTTTCTAATAGCTTTGAGGGCTTTTGAAATGTTATTAGTATTGCTCTGTAGTATTTTATTTGGAAATTTAGTTATGATACTAACTTTGTCTTTTTACTCAAGTTAAACAGCATCATTTTAATCTCCTATCTCTTGG